GATCGAGAGAAAGCAACTAATCATGTTAGATTTTCACTCTTCTCGAACTAACAGACTAGTGGCAACCTCCAACCCACCACAAGGCCTTAGGTTCACACAGTGTCCACAGTGACAATCATGACAAACCAGGGATTCAACGGAATAGATGGATCGCCCAATCAAAGAGCGTCACAGCTGAACAGTGTGGGAGGTCCCTGATTGGTCACAACCAGCAACTCTGGAGCTCATTTTTGACTACTCGTTATGCAAAATATATAGATTTGGAAGAAACCAAATCACAGTCCCAAAACTAACAGTGAAGTAGCTGTTCCTATCACTAGTCTCCAACGAAAAGACAAATGGCCATTTCTCTTGGAATAATGGACACATGTCAATATGTGTATCACTAGTCTTGGATTAACAGGCAAGTGGTCGTGTCTATTGCTAGACAAGGGGCTGTGAACCTCAGTAGTCCAAAAAATAATGGACAAGAGGCAGTGTCTATCACTTGTCTCAGACTAACAATGTGGAAGGGTCTTTGAGCTGTGCTCAAAAAGCCTAAACTCATTTTCAGCAAGGTTCGACATGTCATCATGAAAACAAACAAAACAAAGTATTAAAAAATATAAAAATATAAATCCTAAATCATGAAGAGGTTCCTTGTCCCACTTGACTGATCTCTACAGCAAGTCTGAAAAATTCAACAGTTTTGTAGATCTGCTCTTGAAACACCTCTTCACTTTAATTTTCAAGTCTTGTTTTGAAAACAAAGAAAACTTGAAAAGTAAATAATCCCAAATCCTGAAAATGCACAACTTCATCTTAAGAGTGACCTGTACAGCAAGTTTCAAGAAGAAAGATTGGTTTAGGAGTTCTGCTCTGGAAACAGTAGACAGATTGATAGCAGATGGACAGATGGATGAACGGATGGACAGACATGGTGATCACCATATTCCCCTGGTATTTCAAGCAGCAGGGCTAATGAATTACCCTCTAAACCAATTAATCAATGTCAATTAAACTAAGTGAGCAACGATAGAACATTGTATCTGAAACGGACCATTTACAATTTACCACTTATCTTTGCTGTATACTCGTCAATAGTCATGTTGGAAAAGAAGGCAAACTTAGAATAGAAGGATAATTCTTTCCCACAATAGTTTTTAACAGCAGTAACAAAAACATGAACACACTCTCTAAACAAACACAAGCAAACAAACCAGTCTGCTGAAGTGAAAGATTTCATTTGAAAAGTTGTAGAACACAACAGAATCAAAGGATTAAATTCTTCACCTCCCTTGAACACCAATAACTTCTTCACAAAAAGCTGTCAGATTACCACACTAATTTTACAAAAATAAATATATATACAACAAAACTTACTACAGTAACGTTAATACAAGTTACTACAAAACTTGATTCCACATGTCAATAGATTTCAAACACAAGAAACATGATGGCAGGCACAAATTCTTCAAATTACGCCCTAAGTCCCTTTGAAACAAATACTTCCTGCCACAAACCAAAAGCCGTCAGTTTATCATACAGGAACAAATTCTTCAAAACACTCCTTCCTTTGGAAAAAATCATATTTTCTACACATAATCAGAGGCTGACAGATTATACAATAAGTTTTACCTATATAAATATACACATAAGATATCCACATCAAAATTAGTACTAGTTACCACAAAACTTGTTCCAATATGGCAATACATTTCATTAACAACATATTTTGTTCAACAGCAGGACTATCTTAACCAGCATGTTAATACCAAGTTGACAACTTTCAAGTCAGCCCGGTACAATGTTAATCAATTACATAAACACTCAACGATAACCACAGAACATTCAGTAGCCATACTGGCAGAGACCAAGTCAAAGTAAGTTCAACAAAGCAACAGAACTTGTTGATGTCAAGACAACAAAATATTGCTTACACAACTAAAACATTGGAGGAGAAGTTTGCGGCAGTCGCTCCAAAACTCGGTTTACTCACCTGTGAGAGGCCCAGTAGTCCAGATGTCCTGAAACTCAATAGCATAAACTGCCTGATGCAGCTACTATGAGACCAGCGTGCTAGGTGAGACAGCTGTGGACGGTCCCCTTGTTCTGTCACACTTTCCCTCCATGCGATCCAGCCTATAAACAGGGGACTAGTTGCATGCTTCATAAGTCATACCAACCAGTTGTTTCAGTCCGCTATCCGGGTCCATCCAATGAAATTAGCTTGATTGGGTGGCTTCACAAAATCAATTGTATAAATGCTGTCCCTTCAGCATCGGCTAAACTCATTGGAATTTGAGTTGACATTTGTTAGAAAAGGCGAGGATAATTATTCTGAAAAAGCCTTTTGCAAACACAAACACCTTTAATTTTACCCTTTTAGAGAGCATTACACATTTTGTCCATTAAGATCAGTACATGAGAAGGACGTCTGAAGAGAAAGTTGATTATGAAATACGTAAATGTGCCATAGTGAGAAGCCCATTTTTTGCTGGCTTCCTATCAGCTGTTGTTTCTAATGGAATGTACACATCAGCTCATCAATTTCACACTCTAATTTCCATCCTCTAAAAGAAAAGAAGCATTCTGTCTGTTGTCTGAGAACACTTCTCCTACCACTTCCCCTGCGACACAAGGTTGTTCCTGGAGATAATTGACTCTGTATTTGCCGTTGTCGTAAGTTGAGAGGCCAAGTAATGACACACTAAACGTGACAATGATGTACCCTCTCACTAGAACAATTCAATAACTTGAATGTCGCAGGTGATTCAGACAAAACGCACACCAAACCAACCTCATGTTCAACTTTGGCATGTTGAATGACAGGTTCTGAGGAGTTTGAGGAATTAATTCTTCTATTCTGGAGGTTTATTCAATTTGTACAAGGCATGTATCTGAGATTTTGAACAAAATTGCTAATACTTAAAACAACAGAAAAGTTAGTAAATTAAAATAGATCATTGCTGATTTGGTTACAGGAAAGAGTAAACCCACTGCTTCTTTTCACTAGATTTCATCTGAGGTAACAATGTGTCAACAAAATGTTGCCATGTGCTGGAGTTGTTCTTGAAACAAAACATGGAAGACAAATATTCTTTCATACTGGAACGTTTATGACTCTATGCTTTGTTGATGTTTGGAATATTTCTACAGGAAGGATGAGGGTGGGCTGGTGTCACATTAAAGGCAGCATCATATTACATCCTGTCATATCAGGTATGCTGTTTCACAACCAAGCCAGAAGGTACGAAGCAGGGCCTAGATTTTCGAAGCTCTCTTAGCGCTAAGGCAGTCATAAGTGCCATACATTAACATTAACTTACGACTATCTTAGCGCTAAGAGAGCTTCGAAAATCTCGGCCCAGAGTAACTACACAGACTACTGGGAACAAACTTAGCATTCAACTTCAGCCGATCTTACAGAGTACAGAGACCACACATCTTACTAGTCTTCTTACTGTTCATCAGCTAAGTCAAGTTTGCGATTATGAAAAGGATTTTTTACTTACATTTGCTACCAATTATCTCCCAACAGACTTCAAGTTAAGTTCATTATTATCACGAGCAATTTGATTAAAAAAAAGCAAAATCCTGTGCTTTGTACATTGATAAATGTCTACAAACATAAAGATATATATGATGTACATATGTGAGATAGATACATTGATTTAATGACAGAACAGCTTACAGTTCTAGCTGTAATGACAACATCAGATACAGTGTAAACATTGCTGGGCCCATTTCATGAAGCTGGTGTACAGCTGTGACTGTCAACTGCCTACACAAACTATCAGAGTTATGACAATCGTAGCAGCGTTATGAAGGTTTTGTGCAATGGATCCCACACCCCTGGATGTGCAGCCATTAAACAAAGAGTTAACACCAACATAAAACCAGAGATGACAAGAGTTCTCACGCATCCATTACCAAGTGTCAAGAGGAGTTAAACTGCCATTCAGATTTTCATAACAAAAACATAGCTTCCTGTGTTATGTAAAAAGCCCAACACATAAAAATGTTGTGTATTTCTGTAAGCATGTTTTTTTCTCTGAGGAAATTGTAACATCAAAAGGAGAAATCTGATTTCGATGAACAAAAAACATTTTACACATGACATACGTTATTCTGTACCTGCATCAATACTCTCTGTTTGCAGCAAGTTTTTGGTCTCAGCTTACATGCTGTGGCTCTACAATATTTGTGGATTGTAATTTGCTACCATGACGGCAGTTTAACACTATAAAGTTTCTCAGCAGGGGTCAGAAGGCTCATAAACCCCAAACACTAAGTTCGTCTTGCAATACATGCTTGAAATTGTTTCTGTTACTGGTTTCATAGCTTTTCCACCAACATACATACACTGTCATAACAACTCAGTTTTACATAAAAGTATAGCTGGAAAACATTTCCCAAATAATAAGAAACGTGCACCAACTATAGAATTGTTTGTACGAAACAAGTCTACCATGGGGATGTGTTCATTAATCTCCACCAAATAGTAATGATGCCAGACAAGGGTAGGCCTATACTGACCCACCAGGGGCACCTGTCATGAACAAATGCAAAGTCGTTTGTTCACCTGAAAAACCATGTGGACAAAAGGTACAAGTCAACAAGAACAAACTCCATGTTCAACATCAGCTATTGATAAGTCAGTGGGAAACATCTCTCAAAGGTAAGTTTTTGTTTAACATTGGCACAGCACAAAGGGCTTATTCCTGAAAAGGTGTTCACAGTCCTACTGATGTCCCAGGTCTAAAACTGAGGATGCACCTCACAACAGATACACTACATCGTGGGTTTCACTTCAGTTCATTTTCTAGAACACTCAATGATTGTCAACTACAGTGTCAAAAGATAGTTTTCAAAATTGGTAACGCTATAGAAGAATGTCCTATGGAAAGTTGATGGAATCAGGAAAACGTATCTCTTGCAAACACTATTGAATACAACATCAGTGTATGGGACCTACATAACCAGTAAGTTCATATGTATTGAATAATAACGCTGCGATATACATGTATATTCAATCCTTTTATAGACATTTTCAACAATTCACATTATCAATCAGTGAAACAGATGCCCATGACAGCAACACACTGGAGGAGATGTTTATGGTGGTACAGTGTTGCAGGGACACAGGGACACCTTGTTCCTTCTGTGCTGGAAGGCGTGGAGCACTTAAGACACAGCTTGCCTCAAGGTATTTCGTTTGTCTCTTGAATTACAAAAATGCATTAGTATGCATAGCTAACACTTTAGCACATTAAGTGTGCCTTGATCATGTGCTTTGAAACGTTTTTGTAATGAAATTATATAAAAATGTTGCAGGCATTGTTAAACCTCCTTCCACTGTTTCTCTAGTTGAGGAAATCACTGAAGCCCACAGCAGTCAGTGACAGTACTGCCTGACAACGAGGACAGTATCTTCCAGTCCAAATCGTTACTAGGGACAACACGATAGTGTAGATAGATGATGACTAACCATATGTCATCAGTACCATACATGCTGTGAAATGTGGGTTAGTTTTGAGATATAGGCAGTACCTTAAAGCCCAGGACATGTGAATGAGTGAGTTTTATGCCGCTTTTAGCAATATTCGAGCAATGTCATGGCAGCTGAGACCAGAAATGGGCTTCACACATTGTACCTATGTGGGGAATCGAACCTGGGTCTTTGGCGTAATGAGCATTTTTACGCTCTAACCACTAGGCTACCCCACCACCCCTCCCAGGACATGTACTCATGGATTGTCACGAGGGACTGCATCTTGTACATTGTTCCATATGTAAGAAAAGAGGCCAGTATTATAGATGCCATGGACAAATACATGTCGTCATTTCTATACTTTTCTTTACCTTGCAACAACAAAAACAAAACAAAAAATATAGAAAAATACAAATAAACAAATAAAATATATACAGATAAAATGATAAAGGTATATTCCTAATTTGATGTTTTTTGGTTTAGTTATATGATGGTCTGTATACAACAAACTTGGAGCACTCACCTTGCTAAATACACTAGTATATATACAGATAAAATGATAAAGGTATATTCCTAATTTGATGTTTTTGGTTTAGTTATATGATGGTCTGTATACAACAAACTTGGAGCACTCACCTTGCTAAATACACTAGTATATATACAGATAAAATGATAAAGGTATATTCCTAATTTGATGTTTTTGGTTTAGTTATATGATGGTCTGTATATACTACAAACATCAAACAGAAAAACTTTCGATCTACAGACTGTTACACATCAATTAAGAAGTTCTTGAAACTTCTAGTTAATTATCTAGAAACTTGTGTACATTACATCAAAACCCACTGATTTAATTAGATACTGAACGGAAGAGATTGTAATACCTGTAGCAAGGCCATATCATTCCTCCACTTCCTCTGGAAAGTAACAAAATGAGATCCTAATCACATTAAACACCTGTCTTTAACAACTCATAAGAAGTAGAAGGTAGGGATAAGATTATCAACTTCTTTATTACAATTTAGAAAAATGCACATGAGCTGTGTTTGAACATACACCAAAACATTGCTTTTAATTGTTATCCTTACACAACGGACGTGTATTTACATGCAGGATCTATACTTGTTTGTGTAACTGATGATGAATTGTACAGACACATGATGCTGTGATGAAACACCTCGACTTACAGAAGCACAAATCAATGCCAGGAGTGGTCGGATACAGGCTCAAGCCACAGCCAGTCTCTTCACCAATCCCCTGTCCGTTAGAAAGTGAAGCAGATTATTTGTCCACCGTTTTTCTCCCATTAAGGGAAGAATGCTTTTCAAATGTTGTGCTGCCATCACTAAATCTACTCTAGTGCGTGTGCAATCAAACAGTATACAGGATAATCCCTTCTGCATAGGAGTGGCAGAAAACAGGTGATTGCTGTTGAAATTATCTCATTCAAAGAAAGTCATTTCTCCTGGAGTCAGAATAGCACTGAAGGGCATCACCTGTGTTGATTCTGTCAGATGTACTATCTATTCACAGGCTAACAGCTTCTCAGGTACACCAGCTGATTACTTCCGAACTTAAAGGTTAAATGTATCAGTTCTGGATAATAACGTAAAGTGTTCAGAGCAGTTGAGTAATTGTACAAAATCTGATAGTCCATTACATAAACAGCTGCAGAGGAGAATGTGTCACAAAGGTGGTGGAGGAGAATGTGGCAGAGGAGAATGTGTCACAAAGGTGGCGGAGGAGAATGTGTCACAAAGGTGGTGGAGGAGAATGTGTCACAAAGGTGGTGGAGGAGAATGTGTCACAAAGGTGGTGGAGGAGAATGTGTCACAAAGGTGGCGGAGGAGAATGTGGCACAAAGGTGGCAGAGGAGAATGTGGCACAAAGGTGGCAGAGGAGAATGTGGCACAGGAGAATGTGGCACAAAGGTGGCAGAGGAGAATGTGGCACAGAGGAGAATGTGGCACAAAGGTGGTGGAGGAGAATGTGGCAGAGGAGAATGTGGAGGTGGAGGAGGAGAATGTGGCACAAAGGTGGCGGAGGAGAGAAGGAGAATGTGGCACAAAGGTGGCAGAGGAGAATGTGTGGAGAGGAGAATGTGGCACAGGAGAATGTGGCACAAAGGTGGCGGAGGAGAATGTGGCACAAAGGTGGCGGAGGAGAATGTGGCACAAAGGTGGCGGAGGAGAATGTGGCAGAGGAGAATGTGGCACAAAGGTGGCGGAGGAGAATGTGGCACAAAGGTGGCGGAGGAGAATGTGGCAGAGGAGAATGTGGCACAAAGGTGGAGGAGGAGAATGTGGCACAAAGGTGGCGGAGGAGAATATGGCAGAGGAGAATGTGGCACAAAGGTGGCGGAGGAGAATGTGGCACAAAGGTGGCGGAGGAGAATGTGGCACAAAGGTGGGAGGAGAATGTGGCACAAAGGTGGCGGAGGAGAATGTGGCACAAAGGTGGCGGAGGAGAATGTGGCACAAAGGTGGCGGAGGAGAATGTGGCACAAAGGTGGCGGAGGAGAATGTGGCAGAGGAGAATGTGGCACAAAGGTGGCGGAGGAGAATGTGGCACAAAGGTGGCGGAGGAGAATGTGGCACAAAGGTGGTGGAGGAGAATGTGGCACAGAGGTGGGAGATATAGATATAGAAATCTCAGCTGTATTCAAGCTGCCAATTATGGAGTCATGACCAAACCATCATGTGATTTATACTGATATAATGATCTACATAAGGATCGACATGGCACAGTGATGACATGTGGCATATAACATAAGGATCCATTACAGGCTATAATTTCATTAAAAGTGAATTAATCATGTTGCAATATCAAAATATTCGCTTCACCATAATATCGAACATCAGCAGACGATTTTTATCATTCTTCACTTTCTCCAGAACTGTTCACAATAGCATGGAGGAATATTTTTACAGATCGCTGCTTTTTAACAGACATTTTCATTTATCAGTTACTCCTTTTCGCTTAATCGCAGTTCTCAAATTCAACTTGTCCAAACATTACAAATGACGTGTTACACAGTGACCGCTGACCTTAAAGGAAATGTCATGAGATCATGTACAGAGCATGGTCCAGTAAAACAGGCTTGTTTACATGTCTCACTTCAGGTAATTCATTCACCTGATCCACAACATAGTAAATATTATCTAACATAATGAAATTGATCCCTGTTTTTTATCTCCTGGGAGTAAACGTGTTATATTACATATCCTGTACTCTCTCTCTATATATATATACATTTATACATATATTGAAAAAATACATATATCCTGGCAAGGGGACATGTGCCATAAGTAATACTCATTTATACATCCAGTCAGACGACATGTGCCATATTGAAGAAATACATATATCCTGGCAAGGGGACGTGTGCCATAAGTAGTACTCATTTATACATCCAGTCAGAGGACATGTGCCATATTGAAACAATACATATATCCTGGCAAGGGGACGTGTGCCGTAAGTAATACTCATTTATACATTCAGTCAGAGGAAATGTGCCATACAGAAAAAATACATATATCCTGGCAAGGGGACGTGTGCCATAAGTAATACTCATTTATACATCCAGTCAGAGGACATGTGCCATATTGAAAAATACATATATCCTGGCAAGGGGACGTGTGCCATAAGTAATACTCATTTATACATCCAGTCAGAGGACATGTGCCATACAGAAAAAATGCATATATCCTGGCACGGGACGGGGCGTGTGCACATATATATAAGTAATACTCATTTATACATCCAGTCAGAGGACATGTGCCATATTGGACATGTGCCAAAAATACATATATCCTGGCAAGGGGACGTGTGCCATAAGTAATACTCATTTATACATCCAGTCAGAGGACATGTGCCATATTGAAAAAATACATATATCCTGGCAAGGGGACGTGCCGTAAGTAATACTCATTTATACATCCAGTCAGAGGACGTGCCATATTGAAAAAATACATATTATCCTGGCAAGGGACGTGTGCCATAAGTAATACTCATTTATACATCCAGTCAGAAAACATGTGCCATATTGAAACAATACATATATCCTGGCAAGGGGACATGTGCCGTAAGTAATACACATTTATACATCCAGTCTGACGACATGTGCCATATTGAAGAAATACATATATCCTGGCAAGGGGACGTGTGCCTTAAGTAATACTCATTTATACATTCAGTCAGACGACATGTGCCATACAGAAAGAATAAATATATCCTGGCAAGGGGACGTGTGCCATAAGTAATACTCATTTATACATTCAGTCAGACGACATGTGCCATATTGAAGAAATACATATATCCTGGCAAGGGGACGTGCCATAAGTAATACTCATTTATACATCCAGTCAGACGACATGTGCCATATTGAAAAAACACATATATCCTGACAAGGGGACCGTGCCATAAGTAATACTCATTTATACATCCAGTCAGGGGACATGTGCCATATTGAAAAAACACATATATCCTGACAAGGGGACGTGCCATAAGTAATACTCATTTATACATCCAGTCAGAGGACATGTGCCATATTGAAAAAACACATATATCCTGACAAGGGGACGTGCCATAAGTAATACTCATTTATACATCCAGTCAGAGGACATGTGCCATATTGAAAAAACACATATATCTTGACAAGGGACGTGTGCCATAAGTAATACTCATTTATACATCCAGTCAGGGGACATGTGCCATATTGAAAAAACACATATATCCTGGCAAGGGGACGTGCCATAAGTAATACTCATTTATACATCCAGTCAGAGGACATGTGCCATATTGAAAAAAACACATATATCCTGACAAGGGACGTGCCATAAGTAATACTCATTTATACATCCAGTCAGAGGACATGTGCCATATTGAAAAAACACATATATCCTGACAAGGGGACGTGCCATAAGTAATACTCATTTATACATCCAGTCAGGGGACATGTGCCATATTGAAAAAACACATATATCCTGGCAAGGGGACGTGCCATAAGTAATACTCATTTATACATCCAGTCAGAGGACATGTGCCATATTGAAAAAACACATATATCCTGACAAGGGGACGTGCCATAAGTAATACTCATTTATACATCCAGTCAGGGGACATGTGATGCATAGAAAATGACACATACCCTTGCAGAGGATATGTACCTTGTATAGTAAACATTACATATCTTGACAAAGAAAACATTTTCAATTTTTCCTAGTACATGTCAAAATGGCAGCAAAAGTCAAGTTGTTTTGTGTGTTTAGACATGAGATAATCCAATAAAACACTGTCATAGTGATTTGGGGCTAAAAACACATCTTTTCTGTTCTCAAGTAACTGCTGGTTATTCATCTCCATTGTGTATGAGAGTACAATGTACAAATTTATACTTCCTTGGGGCATACATGTAACTATGATTTCAAAAGATGTTACACAATAAAGTCTGATACATCTTAGTAAATCCTGCCAGTGACCATGGCATATATTGGATAACGTTCATATCCCACGTGAAGCCATGCGGTATCCAGGATATATATGCAACTCCGGCCCTATGAGGGGGAGACTGACAGTATAACTACATCAGTAGAGATTAAGTGACTGTTCTCTGTTTCAGGATCAGCCTTCCTACACACGCTGTAACTAGATGCCTGAAGTATAGATGTCAAGTAATTTGTATCTATTGGTTCTGACCCGATACTACGATGTACAACAACAAGTGTGGGAGAAATGGCTTCCTTCAACACAATACCAAACTGACAGCTTCCTTGACTGTATGATATACCACACACAGGTATTACACATCTTATATTATACAGCAACAAGTATTAAATAGACATTGTATAAAATCACAATGCAAATTCTTCCTGTTTAATCCTGCTATGATACAAAAAATTATATTTTACATTTATTCTTATATTTAACAACTGCGATTCTATTTTCCAGGATCTATCACATGTTTTTAAAGGTTACATGCTAACAACAGCGTACAATCATTAGTACGAGTCTCACCTTGCAGTGAGAAGCGTTGATACAACTCTTTCAGCAACGCCTCATTAATCAGGCCACACCTTGCAGCACGCTAAATTAGTACTGTCAAATACCAGCCAGTAATTGCCGGACAAGGATCCGCTCACATTAATCCTGAGGTAAACAACATTCAATGAAAACTAACAGTCTTGAAATTAGCTGTCAGGACATCAGTTTTTAGTAATCATTATACAGACGAAAAGTAACTTACAGTTGTGATTAAGCATCATTGTTGTAACGAAGCAACAACAAAACTGCTCTCCCAAGTCACAGCATCGTCATTGATTATGGCCCGCCACTATGATGACTTGTTATAGCCCTGCAGCCCTTGAAAATGACACGAAGCTTTAAATCCCTCAATTACACGAAGGGTCTAATGATTGGGAGCGGTTTGTCTTGGTTTGTGGTGAGCATGCGATGGTAGTGGACGCAGTTCTCTATTGATATCCCACCCCCACATATCTGCCAGTAACGTTTCCTCGCAACAAGTACAGCACGCACGGCGGAGGAGAGAGTCCATGCCTCGTGTTCACAACATAGCTACCTACTTCATTTCTATAGCAGGAGTCTGCCACAATGAATTCCAAACATGCGTTCAATGGCAATATTGCCCTCAGAAAACATTTCTTTGAGAAAAAACACTTCCTTTGACATGATTTTCGGTGACAATATAAGGGATGTTAGAGAATTGTAGAAGCAGCAGGAATTTAACTGTTGCTAAAATTGTGTGACAGATGACAAAGAATCTTCCTTGTATTCCAGTAGTGTTTGATGACTGATGGCTACTTGAAGACACGCAGCTTTGGCATTTGTTCTGTAATTACAATCACTGCATATAGAAGCAATCCTTCTAATTTGGCACTAAAAATGTCAGTGGATCTATTTCTGATCAGATCACACATGTCATCAGAAGTCAGGATACATGAAACTCGTGTCCATTAGGTAATTGTGGTGTCGTCTGCTCTGACCAGAAGTAGAGACAAATTGCCATAATCATCTGAAATGTGGCAATCCACAGGTAAAGAGACTACCATAACCCATTCTCAACATCACAAATTCCAGTCCCAACCTTAAAGATGGTCAACTATCGTTTCCAGCCTCTTTCAAACAAATTTCCCATAACCTGACCGATACACCTGTTAGATGAAGGCAGGTGTTCATTGACGTCATATTTGCATATACAGTCATGAAGATCTGTTTAGAACTCTATCAGCAATTACATACAAACTAAAACAAAGTTTACAATGATCATCATGATCATACAAACAGTTACTCTGCATTCACTGTTACAAAAATTGGCCTTTGTTCTACAGTCCTTACCAACCTGCCCAATAAGTAAAGTATCATTGGGATGAGTAGAAATGTGCCATTTTAAGTGTTCTGTTACAAGTGACCATTAAAAGGATCAGTGGACTGAAATGTTTGTTCCTATACCTGCATTCAATACCATTAATATATTGCTGCAATTAATTGTCGATATATTTATTGTATACCATTAAAAATAGGAGATATTTCATTTGGGGGTGATATTATTTGGTATGATTGTATATAGATTTAGAAAATGATTATTCAATTCAAAATGTGTTACAAAGTTTCATGTAAGTACAATAATTTCAGGCAAAGATGATAGTTTCAGGCAAACATGCCGTTTCATTTTTAACGTGCACATAAACATGGTCAGGAATAAATTCAACATTTACAGTGAAACATGCCAGTGTGTTGCTGTACATTTCAAAGACAAAAACAGACTGAAAGTTGCTCTGATATTGTTATAACTCAACAAAACGTTCTTTGGGCAAGCATTATCTGTCATGCCAGGAACAGCTATGAGTGTTTGAAGTTGGGAAAAGACAGAGCATTGTGGCATGAATTCTTAAAGCGTCACAGTCAGTCATTAGCAGATTACGATCAAAATATCTACAGACAAATAACCTTGATGACAGATATCTATCTGGTTGACCAAGGCACTGGCGACAAGACGGTGTCTTCAGAACGACTGTTATGAAACCATGGTCAAAGTGCCTATCAAATTGGAAATGAGCTTCACAGAGAGTGAGTGGACAGACTATTTGTAACCGGCTACACAGAAAGAACCTGCAAGTCCGACCTCGATGTGTTATCCCAAAATTGACACACCGTCCAATTACTGCAAGACCATTGGTGTCAACAGCACCATGGCTGGACCAGTCGTCATTAGGCCAACATTATGTTTTCAGATTTATTCAGTTTACTTTAGACTTCCTTCACAGGTGAGACATAGTGTGGCAGTGACGGAACGTGCAGTTCATGCCATTAACATCAGACAGAACAATCATATTGGGGGTGGGTCTGTAATAGTATGGGGTGGCATCACGATGACAGGCAGAACTCCCTACTTGTTATTCATGGAATTGTCACTGGGCAGTACTACCGTGACAACATCTTGGAGACATACAAGGTGCCATTTGGCCATCATCTAACAACATCTCTGTTCAACAACTAATGCAAATCTAAAGTAACTGACACCCTCTTATTGATCCCCTACTTTTTTTAATAGTATATATTCAGAAATCCAGAAGATGATGTCTATTCATCTGAAAGATTAAATCTGAATAGGAATAAATTCATTAAGTATTTGTTTAATCTTTCAGATGAATAGACATCATCTTATGGTATGAGCGTTTAATATGACAGGGCTACTAAACAAGTGGTTAGTGTTTCTTGCTGACATGAATATTACAAGGATTCCTGCCTGGCCAAATAGATTATAAACAGGCTTTAGAAAAAGCATCTATATCAGTATCAAAATAATAATCGATATGTCAAAATATTGACAATAAAACCATTGTATCACATTGTGCAAAGCTTGTCATCAGTATATCGATGAATCATGACATCACTACTAACCACTAATCCATTGATACCCTCCTACCACCAGCACGGGGGCCAATTCTCAATTCTAACCTTGATGTGGTGATGGTTATCTAAATACTTCACAAATTACACTGTTTATACAAGCATACCCAACTAACAGTCCACATACAGCGCTGTGTGGTTACATAATGGAGGCCCTGCCATCACCTTCCCCCATCCCAATGGTATGCAACTGAACATTCTCACACAAAAATATATTACTTTTAATGTCTTATTGCAGGGTGTAACTTCATGCAGTCCATCACTGACCTTATTCAGGGTCTATACAAAACCCACCCTTTGGCTCATCAAATATGACCTTTCCTTATGTGAGAAATGTTAAACATACATTCTCTCTTCTTAAGCAATATACACTCAGAATAATCAATGCAAGTCCATTGAAAGGATTCACAAGATAGGTTAAAAATTTGAATTGCACACCAAGGAACATCCGTCCCCTAACTCAATTAATCAGGAAGAAAATAGCATTATGAACACAGGCCGCTATGAGCTCTTCCTGTAAGTACCAACATCTCGCTGTCTTGATCCTCTGAGTAAATCCCACTCCACAGCTCAGCAAATAAATGGCTAAGAAAACTACATTTAACATGATTCTTTCTGTCTGCCAGTTCAAACAAGATGTGAGGTAGATGAGCCAAGCAGGCCGCCTACAGTGGTAGCTATGTCTGTAATGAAGACTGACCTTGCCATATTGCTGTCTCCCCACCCCAAGGGGATGCAGGCCTGTGATGTGCTGTCTTCCCACCAACTACCAATATTACATACTTCTTGCTCTGGGTTAGATCATGGATTTCATTACTGAACTAACATATTGGATAAGTCTTTCATGTTGGACATTGATAAAAAGCCTATTCCTTGGTGGTTGTACCATACCTTTCCTTTGCAGTATTTCTGTTAAAAAAATATCAATGCTGTACATTTAATCAAGTTTCAAAACACACTACCTTTCATTGATTAAAACCTTGCTGTTTGTTAATATCCAGCTTTGATGATAATCCTTTGATGAGTTGCCAGCAAAGTCAGTGGAATTAAATTCTCTGTGAAATCACTTATTAAAGCTACCATATCCATTAAAAGTCATTATGAAACATGTCTGTTCTTTTCATCTATATGATAATCATTCACCTGAAGCCAGACTACCTGTAAGTGCAGTATTTGAAAAAGTGAACAGATCATAACAAAACCAATATTGTAATGGATTGTTTAGATGATACAAATGCATCGTCCTTTTACAACTCTCAACAAATATATTATAAAAAAACCTCATTCACCTCAAAGTTCAAAGTCAACTGGAAAATATATATAATTAAATGGTGGCAGAAAATGTAAGATTTTTCGTAACTCCTCTCTATTTTAGGGCAGTGAGGTAGCTAAGTACTTCATGTGTTCTCTAGTCTGTTGTCTGGGTTCCTGACATGAAGACCCTGCTGTGATACTGCTGCTAAACGAAGCCTGACGTCAAACTTGCTCACTCACTCACTCAGGCAATATTTAAGCTAATTTTCTGTAAACACAAGAAACATCAGGTTTAGTTGTGTTTTACATGACAAAGGAGAGAGATCATTATATTGATGAACCTACACAAGTATTCCATGTCAACATATTGTCTATCACCAAGCCTAGACTAAAATATATCTTCCAAAAACATTCCTTTCTGTACCATAATAAATTTTTTTTTTGAAGATATGTCCAGTTGAGAAGTAGACAGTCAGAAGGATGGTTGGATGGATGGATGGATGGATGGATGGATGGGTGGATGGATGGATGGACGGATGGATGGATGGGTGTATGGATGGATGGATGGATGGGTGGGTGGATGGATGGATGGATGGATGGATGGGTGTGGATGGATGGATGGATGGATGGATGGATGGATGGATGGACAAATGGATGGGTTGATGGACAGATGGATGTATATGGGTGGATGGATGGATGGATGGATGGATGGGTGGATGGGTGGATGACACCATTCCTGTAGCCCCCACCCCACTCTGTGTCAGGGGATATCTGAAGCTGTATGTGTTGACGTGTTTGTTATGTAGACAAGGACAACTATGGCTGTAATCAAACCCAGAGGTCTCTCCAAGCTAAGCTCATCCCTGGTAACTCACGGTTTTGAAAACAATATCATATTATTATTCTGTAAATGTTTTTCCATAGCTTTGTTTATGAGGTTTTACTCAAGTAACCACAGCCAGAGCCTGTTTGAGAGTTTACATTGAATAAATGAGTTATTTTGAGTAAACAAGTCCATTAAAGTGAGAGTCTGACAAGAGGATCAATGGACTCAGCCCCATCATGCTTGAATCATTGAACCCAGATGGAGTGAAGTCAACTAATTCATAACTAGACAACAGCGGAAGCACAGTGAACAGAGAACAATGTGTATTTTTACGGGGTGGTGGGGTAGCCTAGTGGTTAAGGCTTTCGTTCATCATGCTGACGACCCGGGTTTGATTCTCCACATGGGTACAACATGTGAAGCCCATTTCTGGTGTCTCCAGCTGTGATATTGCTGGAATAATGCTAAAAGCGGCGTAGAACTAAACTCATTCATTTCTCTATTATTAGTGCACAGATGTCTGAATCCTCTCCACTGCTTGCTATAAAATCCTGTCCCAAAACATAACAAATGGTCAGTCTCTAATACCACCCAAACCCTAACAAATGGTCAGTCTCTAATACCACCTGAACCATAACACATGGTCAGTCTCTAATACCACCTGAACCATAACAAATGGTCAGTCTCTAATACCACCTGAACCATAACAAATGGTCAGTCTCTAATACCACCCAAACCCTAACAAATGGTCAGTCTCTAATACCACCTGAACCATAACAATTGGTCAGTCTCTAATACCACCTGAACCCTAACACATGGTCAGTCTCTAATACCACCCAAACCAAACCTAACACATGGTCAGTCTCTAATACCACCTGAACCCTAACAAATGGTCAGTCTCTAATACCACCTGAACCATAACAAATGGTCAGTCTCTAATACCACCCAAACCCTAACACATGGTCAGTCTCTATACCACCACCCAAACCTAATAACTGAACCATAACATGGTCAGTCTCTAATACCACCTGAACCATAACAAATGGTCAGTCTCTAATACCACCCAAACCCTAACAAATGGTCAGTCTCTAATACCACCCAAACCCTAACAAATGGTAACACCCATGGTCATGGTCTCTAATACCACCTGAACCATAACAAATGGTCAGTATCTAATACCACCCAAACCCTAACAAACCAGTCTCTAATACCACCCAAACCTAACAAATGGTCAGTCTCTAATACCACCCAAACCCTAACACATGGTCAGTCTCTAATACCACCCAAACCCTAACAAATGGTCAGTCTCTAATACCACCTGAACCATAACAAATGGTCAGTCTCTAATACCACCTGAACCATAACAAATGGTCAGTCTCTAATACCACCCAAACCCTAACACATGGTCAGTCTCTAATACCACCTGAACCATAACAAATGGTCAGTCTCTAATACCACCCTATGGTCAACCACCTGAACCATAACACATGGTCAGTCTCTAATACCACCTGAACCATAACACATGGTCAGTCTCTAATACCACCTGAACCATAACAAATGGTCAGTCTCTAATACCACCTGAACCATAACAAATGGTCAGTCTCTAATACCACCTGAACCATAACAAATGGTCAGTCTCTAATACCACCCAAACCCTAACACATGGTCAGTCTCTAATACCACCTGAACCATAACAAATGGTCAGTCTCTAATACCACCTGAACCCTAACAAATGGTCAGTCTCTAATACCACCTGAACCATAACACATGGTCAGTCTCTAATACCACCCAAACCCTAACACATGGTCAGTCTCTAATACCACCTGAACCATAACAAATGGTCAGTATCTAATACCACCTGAACCATAACACATGGTCAGTCTCTAATACCATAACCCTAACATGGTCAGTCTCTAATACCACCCAAACCCTAACACATGGTCAGTCTCTAATACCACCTGAACCATAACAATTGGTCAGTATCTAATACCACCTGAACCATAACAAATGGTCAGTCTCTAATACCACCCAAACCCTAACACATGGTCAGTCTCTAATACCACCCAAACCCTAACAAATGGTCAGTCTCTAATACCACCCAAACCCTAACACATGGTCAGTCTCTAATACCACCTGAACCATAACAAATGGTCAGTCTCTAATACCACCCAAACCCTAACACATGGTCAGTCTCTAATACCAAACCTGAATGCCCATAACCCTAACAAATGGTCAGTCTCTAATACCACCCTGAACCATAACACATGGTCAGTCTCTAATACCACCCAAACCCTAACACATGGTCAGTCTCTAATACCACCCAAACCCTAACACATGGTCAGTCTCTAATACCACCCAAACCCTAACAAATGGTCAGTCTCTAATACCACCCAAACCCTAACAAATGGTCAGTCTCTAATGCCACCCAAACCCTAACAAATGGTCAGTCTCTAATACCACCCAAACCCTAACAAATGGTCAGTCTCTAATACCACCTGAACCATAACAAATGGTCAGTCTCTAATACCACCTGAACAACACTGTAGGATCTGATTCTGAGTGCATGAATTTAACATTCTTGCTTACAAATTCATATTTTTCTTCAGGATTTCCTTCAACAAAGAGGATTTCTTCTGCAGAGCCTTATAAAACATCACAGCCATAACAGGCGGAAATCTACAGACATCTACTCTCCAAACATATTTCTCTCACAGCTTGCTACATTAAAAAGTCTGCTGTTTGATACAAACCATCTCTAGAGGGACCATTCAAAACTGTTTAGTAATAGTGGCTCACCATTCACACATATTCAGGAAGGCATCACACAGAGACATCCAAGGACCCTTCACTATCCAGGGATTGGAACCACTTTGATCACCTGAACTGGCTTGGGCTGGTTATACTCAGTAATTACCCACAGCCTGACTTCCAAGCAGGTTTTATCCTATCAGACTGCATCCAGCCACCTTAATCACATACAGCCATGCAATACCTTCATTGTGCAGAACCAACCACACACAATCTATCACATAGTGGTTCTCTCTCATAGACCTGGTAAAAACTGTGAGTTGTGAGTTTAGTTTAACATCGCTTTTAGCAATATTCCAGCAATATCATGGCGGGGAACACCAGAAATGGGCTTCAGACATTGTACCCAAATAGGGAATGGAAGCTGGGTGTTAGACATGACGATTGAACGCTATAACTACCAGCCTACTCCACCACCCAGGTAAAAACTGAACACAGAATATCAAAAGGCACCTGTTCACATCTAGACTGATGTGTATAGCAAGTTTCATCAAATTGTATTCAAGAGTTTTACAGTACTACTCTGACCTAATTTTCAGTATAAAAACAAGTTGTAATCTGGAAACTATAAAAAGTTAAAATAAAAATGTCCTAAATCATCATAGGAACCAGTTAACCACTAGACTCATCTGAAAAACAAGTTTCATTCTACTCCAGAAATGAGCACTACCCTTATTTTCAGCTTAAGTCCCCACTTGTCTGGTGAAAATAAAGAAGTTAAAAAACCAAAACCCTATGTAATAAAAATGTATCATTTAACCACTAGACTTATCTGTGAAGCAAGTTACTAAATATATCAAACGGATCTTGAGTTCTGCTCCAGAAACAAGCACTACCACAAGTTTCAGTATAAATCCAACCTGTCATCATTTGAAAATATACTCATGGAAACAAATAAGGGAACACATGAAAGTACAAGTGATCCTTTATTCTTGTCCAGGGTTCTTCACAGGGTACGTATTGCACTGTGGGTGAAATTCTGAAAACATACAAAGGAACACTTGTACTCTCATGTGTTCCCTTATTCGTTTCCATAAGTATATCATACCAATACTTGATAATAATAATAATAGTGTCTATTTATAGTGCGCACAAATCCACGTTCGTAAGCATGTTCATGGCTCTTGATCATCAAAAGGCACCAGTCTATTACAAGACTGATCTGAACAGCAAGTTTCAATGGATTCAGAGGTTTGTTCCAGCCAAGGGAAA